GGTAAACGATCGTCACTGACTCTAGACTCTCAGGTTGTGTTTAGCTCAATACGTCTAACAATCCCGATGTCCGAAAATAGATGGTATAACTCATGGTTCATTCGACGGCGATATTCAACGTCGACGCTGATCGGCCCATAGATCTTCTGGAGAATTTGTCTTTCAAATAATTCAGGAGCTGCCTCATCTGCTTGCGTAAGTACCCATGCTTCACATCCATATAAGATCATGGTTGGTATCAGCGTCTTGTAGAGTGTGAGTTTTGTCTGGCAAGAGGTGTTCTTGATTTGCTTACTCAGACCATAGTAGCATCTGTTGGCCAAACTATCCTTCTCCGGATTTCAAAGCTGATGTCATTAGTTTTATTTGTGACGGTACTGAGGTATATAAAATCGAAGCTGTAGTTGTCAAGTTCCACTGTTGGTTCTAGTCAGTGTTGCCAAAACTCTGTTGAGAAAAAATGCTAGATTATGTTGAAAAAAATGCTAGAAAGTGCTAGAAATTTTAAAAAAGTGTCAGAAAAAAGTGCTAAAAAAATAAATGAACAAAATTTTTAATATGTAATAATGAAATATTCATCAGAGACCCCATTTATTCTTAAAGGCTACTCCTTGTCGATTTAGCCATGTCCATGCGATTGAGGTCGTAATATTGAAAACAGAGCTTTGGAATTTTGCCCATATATTGCACTACTCCTAGGACATTTGGTAGTGGGAATTAAATATATCGGTATTTTTTGTGTACACCATACCCAATATTTAATTTTTTTAAGGTTTTGGGCACATTTTTCAACCTAATATGCGGTTTTATATTTCGGATTCTCCCTGTGTAGAATGTCTTCTTACTAAAAATTATCAACATTGGTCCACTTTTAAGCGTAGCCCTCATAAACACGTTTTACAATCGAATTGGCTTTCATTTGGTATTTCAAATTGAGTAACAAATCTCCTTATCAGAAATTATTAATATATGTACATATTTAGGGGTTGCTGGTTAACGACAGCACCCCATTACCCCAAAGTAACTGTAATTTCACATTGCGGGATTTTGGAGGTTAGCATACTAAAACAATTATCAATCAATTTCAATCAGACACCCTCTCGAAATACATATGGAAGCTATGGCTTCATCTGCACCAATTTCAACAAAACGCAATAACGTCATTCTAGTCTCAAATTGATACGCTGTACAAAATTTCGTGCTATTCGCACAAATATTAGAAATTCGGTGCACCATTAATGCAAAATCGGGTGAGTATATATGTATGTACATTTGGGAGCTATATCGAAATCTGAACCGATTTTTCCGAAACATTTCACTCATCATTCTAGACTCAATTCAGTATCCTATACCAAATTTCGTGCAAATCGAAGGATATAAAGAACTTAGGTGCACTATTTACCTAAAATCGGCTATATCTAAATCTGAACCGATATTCATGAAATTTAATATAGATCTTTCTAAACTTAATTCCGTACCATATGCAAAATGTCAAGCAAATCGTAGCATATATAGGGACTTGGTGCACAATTTACATAAAATCGGACGAAAGTATATATGGGAGCTACATATATCGAAATCTGGACCGATTTTCTCGAAACTCACCACCCATAATTCTAGACTCAATTTAGTACGCTATGCCAAATTTCGTGCAAATCGAAGGATCAATAGGGACTTTGGTGCACCATTTACATTAAATCGGAACCGATTTTCACGAAATTTAACACACGTCTTTCTAGGCTTAAATCATTACCCTATGCACAAATTTCGTGTAAATCGAAGGATATATAGGGCCTCGTGTGCCCTATTTACCTAACATCGGATGAAAATATATATGGACGGTATATCCACATCTGAACCTATTTCCCCGAATAACTAAGCTGTGCCAAATCAATCAAAAATGCGAGTTGTACTTTGTTTACAATTTAACATGGACTGTCAGACGGACATACATAAATCGGCTTAAAAAGTGATTCGATGCATATTCTCAAAAGGAACCGTGTGTCTATCTCGTTTCCTTTTGCCTGTTACTAACATATGCACAAAGACATAATACCCATGTACCATAGTGTGGTGAAGGGTATAAAAATATATGTTTGCCGGAATTTTTCTATTTTGGTCCGGTTCGGTACTCTTTAGTGGTTATAACTTGGCATTCGGGACTGCCGGTGAATAAAAAACTTATTTTCAGAAAATTCCAATGCACCGCTTTATTTGTTTTTTTTTTTTTCAAATAAACAATCTACTAGCAGACAATGTCATAGTCCCCATATGAAGTACCTGCTTACAAATCTACTGTCACTTTTTTAACATTGGAAAATCAAATTCATCGCGTGAAACATAGGGAAATTTCAATGCGTCAATATGAAATCGAAGAACGGGAAAATTTGTTGGGATGAAACAAAAATTATAGAAAAATACTGAAAAATAAAAATGCTAAAAAAAGTGCTAGGTGCTAGATCACTTTTTTTTGGTGCTAAACGAGTTTAAAAAGTGCTAAATCTAGCACTAAAAGTGCTAAATTGGCAACACTGGTTCTAGTCGACTGGACGTCTTGAGCGTTGATACCATCAGCTCGATCTTTTCGCCATTTACTGCCAGTCCCACTTTGGCAGACGCCTTCCCAATTCGTTCAAAGGTAGCTGTTACCGCTCTCAATGGTCGACTTATTTGTCGATTTCGTCGGCATAGACGAGTAACATACGCGGTTTGGTGTACAGAGTGTCATGACCTTTTTCAGCAGGATGTTAAAAAGGTCACACGACAAACTGTCATCATGTCTGAATCCTCGTTAGGGTTTGAAGCGCTCTGAAAGGTCCTTTCCGACTTTAAATATAAATAATTTTGCAAACATGGCTTTAAACACCTCTGAACGGATTGGGCTGTTGAATGCGGCTTTATAGTCGACGAATAGGTGGAATGTGTCGATGTATTTTTCGTGGGTTGTTTTCCATGATTTGACGCAGTGTGAAAATTTGGTCTATGGTGTGGTCCAATAATGTCATTGACACTTGGCTTCAGTCGTTCGCACAGCACGCTGGATAGCACTTTACATATATGCGATGTGAAGCAGATTAATTTCTCTATAGTTGGCACATATCGTCCTAGGTTTCCAACCTAAAATATTCAATTTTATACACATTTGTATAAAATGTCGAAAATGTCTAATACTGTAAAAATGCATTTTTTCACATATAAAGCCTTTCGGATGATCTAAGGACACCAAGAAAAATTATTTTTAAGGTTTACTACTTCAAATTTTCAATTTTTTACTCATTTGTAAAATATGTCAAAAACGTAGAAAATGGCAAAAAGTGTAGAAAAAATATTTTTTATAATTTAATTCAAGCAGATAGTGAATGTATCATACCCAGGACTATTTTTTAAGTTTGCTACCTAAAATTATACATTTTTTACAAAATTGTATAAAAAAGTATAAAACGTAAAATATGTACAAAATGTGAAAAATTATAAAATTTCGACTAGAAAAGATAGTAGCAATGATGTTCTAGGTTTACAACTTAAAATATTCAATTTGTATAAAATGTCAAAAACGTCGAAAATGTCTAATACTACAGAAAATACAATTTTGCACATATTCAGCCCTTCAGATGATCTAAGGAGATCAAGAAAAATATTTTTGTGGGTGTACTACTACAAATTTGCAATTTTTTTACATATTTGTATAATATGTCAAAAACGTAAAAAATGACAAAAATTGTAAAAAATGCATTTTTTACAAGTGAAGATATCATAATGAGCGCTTTTTTAGGTTTACTACCAAAATGTATACTTTTTTGACACTACTGTATAAAATGTATAAAACGTAGAATAGCTATGGGAATGACAAAAACTTGAAATTCATTTAGGAATGATCGTACGCAAATTATCAGATGGGAATTACAGGAGGGTACTGTGTGATCTTACTAATTGCCCTTGGAACACACCTATTGTGGCAAACTCCTTATCAGCTGTTTCCTGATGAGAATGAATGGGGAGCATCCTCATGTATTTTTATAGTCGTTTGAGTTGTATGATCATCATACATATTACTCATATTGTCATATATACAGTATGTAATATACATGTATATGTACATAACATTGTTAAATAAATTTTGAAATAATTTTCTTATCAATATTTCAAACTTTTGTGACAGATTTCAAGACGACAGACATATCCCCATTGCAGGCCTATCACACCACTGTGTGTATTTGTGTGTGTGTGTGTTTAATAAGCGGTTATTGTTTTTTGTTTACATCCGTAAACAAACATAACTGGCGTCGCAACATGTTTTGTTGTGACACAACATTCGGATTGGGTGGGGTGGAGGGCGAATAACAACATCGTACGCGAACAACAACCAGCGAGCGACCGATGTTATGAACTATGCACCAAACAACCAGCAGCAGCAACATTCGGCTAAACGGACGGCAGCAACAGCACCACCCAACACCCCAAACACAACGACGCCAAACGCCAGCGCCAATATAACACGCACACACTCTAACACACACACAGACACCGCACCGGACAATTCAGAATAATTTCACTTATTGCGAGTGGAGCAACATTCGTCCCATCGTTGGCGTCGTTAGCGTCGTTGTTGTTGCTGTCGGTGTCTTCGTGTTGTGTGCTTGCTTGCTGACTTGTGTCCGTCATTCTCGCACGCCTTGAAAGCCAATTTCAGCATTCTGCCTGACTGACTGCCGTTCTATGCGGGATTGAGCGATACAATTTGGACAGACGTTGCGATTATTTCCATTCAGTCTTTATTTAACTGACTAACGGTACGCGTCGTTCGAATCCTCCCATTCGTAAATTAACAAAAAATAAATAAAGATTGCATTTACATCGGTAATCGATCGAGATCTTCAGCGTTAACGTTAAAACTTGAAGATTTATTGTGTGCGGTGATTTTTTTTTGAGTTTAGTGAAACTCAAGTTTGAAAAAAATATTTTTTAGCAAATTAATTTAAAAAAAACCTAAAACTTAACAACATGTCTCACCATTGGGGATACACTCAGGAAAATGGTAAGTTTTATCAGTTAAAAAGGGGGATTTTTGTAGAAAATCTTTATTTTAACGTAGCTGAATTAGGATTTTAATAAGAAATCTTCCATTTAACGTAGCTGAAGTCAATTTATCTTAGCTGAATTGGGGTTTTAATACGAAACCGTCCATTTAACGTAGCTGAATTTGCTTTCTCATAGGTAATCTTTAATTCAGCTAAGCTGAATTTGCTTTCTCATGGGTAATCTTTAATTTAGCGTAGCTGAATTTGGTTTTCTATAGAAAATCTTCAATTTAGCGTAGCTGAATTTGGTTTTCTATAGAAAATCTTCAATTTAGCTTAGCTGTATTAGGTTTTCTATAGAGAATCTTGAATTTAGCTTAGCTGAATTAGGTTTTCTATAGAAACTCTTCAATTTAGCGTAGCTGAATTAGGTTTTCTATAGAAAATCTTCAATTTAGCTTAGCCGAATTAGGTTTTCTATAGAAAATCGTCAATTTAGCTTGGCTGAATTAGGTTTTCTATAGAAAATCTTCAATTCAGCTTAGCTGAATTAGGTTTTCTATAGAAAATCTTCAATTTAGCGTAGCTGAATTAGGTTTTAAAGAGAAAATCTTCAATTTAGCTTAGCTGAATTAGGTTTTCTATAGAAAATCTTCAATTAAGCTTAGCTGAATTGGATTTTCTATTGAATATCTTCAATTCAGATTAGCTGAATTGGATTTTCTATTGAAAATCTTCAATTCAGCTTAGCTGAATTGGGTTTCCCATAAGAAATCTTAAATTTAGCTTAGCTGATTTATTGCACACATGTCAAATCAATGTTATATGCGGTTTAAATTCCATAAAACATGTTCGATTTCAATGTAGAATATGTGTTGGCTTGGAAAATATTGCATTAATTTATTCCTAAAATTTAATACACATTTGCATGTGTTCCCATTTCTCTTTTTTTCACCACAATTCTCTCTTTTTCTCTCCATAATTTTTTAATTGAATTTCTTCTTTACCTGTTTTCAAATCGATTTATTTCAATTCATTTCCTGACGTATTGCTTTGCACCAAATAAATCTTGCACATATTTTCTGTTTTGCTTTTTTTCCTAAATCCAATATTTTTTATTGCATATTTAAATATTTACACGTTCTATTGACTGCTGCTGCTTTTTGTTTAAATGCAAAACCCTTCAAGTCGTCCCCCTTTACGATCCATACCCCAATCCACTTGATCTCATCCATATGTATATGGTATTTCAATCGATTGTTGTAGACGACGCTTAAAAGTCTCGTGATGAATTATCGCCACTGTGACGACGACCAATACGTCATTATTGGCTGCATTGTTGTTTTTGTCGTTGTTGCCCTCCAATAAACAGCAGCTTTATGCTGTCAGTTTACCCGGGAGCTGTAGAAAAAATGCACATTCACTTCCCCAAAAAAATAAAAACAACATCCACAAGTTCCCATAACAAATCGAATATAAAACAACAACAAAAAACTAAAGTGTTCTGAATATGGTTTTTTTGTTTTTTTTTCGGTATTGAAACTTGTTTTTTATTTGTAAATTGCATTGTTTTTTGTTTTCGTTGCATCAAAACTTTCTCGTTGGTTGTTGTTATTGTCAAAATCAGTTTTGTATTTCAATGAGATCAATTTCGAAAATTTCTCCCTATTTTGGGCACAATTTTTTTCATTTTTGGGATATTTTGGGTACTTTTCACTTAAAAGGCAAACTTTCAAGGTGATTTATACCATGTTTAGACTATATGTTATGTTAATATAAATTATTTTGATTTATTTTCTGATTCGAGCTGAATTTAGCTCGAAATACAATTAAATTAAATGCACTCATTATCCCGCTTTGCTCGAAATAGAATACAACACTGTTTTTGCACCAAAAAAAATGCAACACTTTCCCGAAAAGTACCAAAAAGGCAACGCTTCAAATATATAACAATTCAATTGAAAACAATAACATGTTTATATAAACTTTTCATCTGACGGAGAGAAATTCCTATTAGAATAATGAAAATATCGAATGGCCACAGACATTATGCAACCAATGAAATATGTATACGTAAACAAAGATCAGCTGACTGACACATTTATATAATTTTAATACTAATCTAAACACCTTGGATAAATTTGCTAGTTTTAGAAATCGATTCAAACGCTTTTTATTTGTCATGCGATATACAAAAATCAGCTGATTGAAAACTTTATATTATTTTGAATACTAATCTAAAAGGCTTGGATTTACTTTCTCGATTAACATATTCAGTCGATTTAGAAGTGATAGTCTAAACGTGTTTATTAGTTGTGTTATGATCAGCTGACTGATAACTTTACATAATTTTAATACTAATCTAAACAGCTATGATTTAGTTCATCAATTAAGAAATCGAGTGGATTTAGGTGAGATAGTGTAAACGCATTTTAAATTGTCATACAATTTTCATACTGCAAACACACATTGATAACATTCCCAATTATCTCGCAATTGTGGTTCCCATCCAAGTGCAATATTACACAATCCATTGGCGTCATATGTAAAATCGGCCTTGATGGAAACAGCGTTGAATTTCAAATCAGCTTGAAAAGAGATCGAGGAAAATTAGCGGTATATTTATTTAATTTTTTTAGTACATTTTTTTAAATTTAGCTACAAGTTGCACTATTTATGTTTTAACTTCTTTTTTTTTATTTTCAAAAAGATTGTCGAAAGAAATGGTTCAGCAAAATTTTTATTCAATCAGCTGAGTTTATGGCCCGTTTACACTACTAAATCCACTCGATCTCAAATGGCAATTCCACAGCGTATACGTCACCCTAATCATGTTCACATATCCTGTTGATAATATTTGACGTATAAGCTATGGAATTGACATTTGAGATCAAGTGGATTTCGTAAATCTAAAGGCACTTTTAGACAATAAAGGCACAATTCACAATAATGAGTTTTGACAGCTATCTTCAGAAGCAGCTGATCTTCATGTAATTACGAAATATTTTGGAAATTTTCGGAGTTCTTCAACCGATCTAGGTTTAACTAGTTTAAGCCACATTTATTTATCATATATTAACATGTGTAACACATGCCATGGTTTACACATGTTAATTTATTATGTTATCAGCTGACATAACTAATTTGTAATTTGTTTTATTATCTCCGCTATCTATTAGCTACTTAGTCAGAAGTTTATAAGTTTCACATAGTTTTATGACAATTTACAATGTGTGAACCTGATATCGGTTATTTATTTTCGGCTTCTGTTTAAATACTAGGTGTGCTTTATTTAATATTTGTTAACAAATAGATCCAGCGAAAAAGTGTACTAAATTAGACACCATTTTCAGTGCCGTATAATTAAAAATATGTAGAAAAAAGCTGTCCAGAAACATGCTTATTCAATCAGCTGTTTTTGAGTTCATTTTAGAAAGTTTCAAGACTTATTATACCAAAAATACCAAGTAGAAAGAAGCTAAAAGAGGGAACATTTGTGAATTAAAAATTTACTACTGGATTGTCGAGGAAAAATATCCAGCAAAATGCTCATATAATCAGCTGTTTCAACATAACTTTTTAAAGGCTTATTAACTTTTTGTGAATAAGTAATAGTTCCGACCAAAATACTTCATTTATCATGCCTTACATGTTAATAGAAATTCATTCCCGTGTTCAAGTCCAGAGCCAGGTGAATGGCTACAAATTTGAAAAATATATTGAGAAAAATTAATCAGTAACATTTTGTTTATTGCTCACAATTTCTATACGATTAATAAAATCAAAAAGTTTTCATTCATTACTTTGCAATTGCTATTGGCAATTTGCTTGACTTCTACGTCACAATAACAATTCTTCACCGGCAACTAATACATTTACACTTGACCATAATGAGAAGAAGATTCTCCTCATGTCATTAGCATAATAATCTCTTTTCTCAAGAGATAAATAAAAGAAGAGAGAAGTGTCAAAATATGAACCAGTTTAAATGCCAGACAAAATTGTTTACACGAAAAAAAAATGGATAAACAAATCTCAGACTTAACTGAAACCAGATAAAACGGAATTAAACACATTGTTTTTAGGGTAAGAAATTACAACTAATTATTAGTAGGTTTTTATACTAGTAATAATCAGATTGTCATAGATATTTTATAATGAAACCATATTCACATGAAGAAATGACACTTAACACCTTATTACGAGATGTCAAAAAAAGTTTGGCCAAATAAAAAAAATTCCCAAAAAAACATATGTATATAACAGACGTCATACTAAAATTCGCATACGTCAGAAGTTTGAAATGTGACGTTTATAAAATAAAACTGTTATTTATTTAAATAAATTGCTAGGTGATTTATATATAACGATAATGATAAGCAAAACATCCCTAGACCTAGGTTTTTTATAATAAAACAAATTATGATGAAAAAATAAAACCTGTGTTCTGTTTTTTCTTTGAAGAGAGGTGGCGGAAGATGATTCACTCCCATAAACCACAACAATATAAAAATGTATTTCTTCTGCATCACGCTTCACAGCATCCTAACAATCCCCACAGCTGAAAGACGACCCAGTTTATTAGTATAGCTATGCTAATCAAAATTCTCATACGTAAGTCAGCGTCAGAAAAAAAAAACAAGAGGCTTCTTCACAATAACAATAATAAAAATGCGTAAAATTAAACATGTAATTGTGTTTGCCAAAAAATACAGGTTATGGAATTTTTTGTGGGTTATGGAAGTTTAATTTCTTTAAAAAGTAGGCTGTTTCAATTGGAATCTAGTTATAACTGCATATTGATAAAGTAAATGTAATAGGTCGGTATTTTATTATACTCAGTCATGGCACAATAAATAGGTGGTAGTCCATTTAGTGCAGCTGATGACTCGATTAACTGTCACAGTGTGTAATCTCTACTTGAATGTGATGTGCAATGTTGCCAACTATGTGAAATATTATAATGACAAATTTGACAGATGATCGAGACCATGGCACAATGTATAGGTAGTCCATT